TGTGGTTAGAACGTGCTGTGCGAGGTGGGAGCCTTAGAAGAACCCACTACAGTGGGTCTACGTGTTGCAGTACATCTTGGACGTTTGCGACAGCGATCCCCCCCCCTCCCGCCCCTTCCGTCTGTGTTGTACCCCGTCTACGAGTAGCAATATGTATCCCGCCAACTGAGTAGTCAACCCCCCCGACATCGCAACTACGGCCAATAGCATCCGATCCTTGCCGCTTTCGATCCCCTGTGCCTGGCAGATGGTGGAGAAGCACATGCCCCCACCTGGGGCGGACACCCTCATTCTCATGTGCGGCCCCCCGCCGATGCTCAAGTTCGCCTGCGTACCCGCGTTGGAAGCGTTAGGGTTCTCGGAAGACATGCACTTCTCTTTTTAATTGTTGCCTAGTAAGGGTGGTCGCAAATAAAGTTGTGGAGTATTCATATGTGTTTGTTGGAATTTGTTTTGCGAAGGTCCTCAGGCCGTACCCTTTTTATTTTTCTCGTCGAGTTTCGACTTCGTCGTGCATTCTCTCTCGAGAGGGGGGGGGGTTGGCATAGTCCTAGGTTTTTGTATGTGTTCCATGTTTTTTGTTCTAGACAACTGTAAGTGCCCAAACATCGGCAGAACCTAGAATGCTGGCTGGAACGCTATTCGGGACGACCATTTTTGCTCGTACACCCCTGCAGTGACAGAAGGCACTGCTGCAGTGCCGAATAGCATTGGTTGATGGTGGCGGAAGTGCCCTGATTGGTTGGTTGGACTTTCGTGAGGGTTGAGTTGTACCGCCGAAGATATACGGTAGGTCACCCCCAGCTGGTTGTTGACATAGACTTAAAACAACTCTTTTTGGATTTTTTACGATGTTCGTGTGCACCCACCAGCTACTCGTCCATGGGAGAATGCCACAAACCGCCACCTCTGCTGTCTTTGCATGTGCTAAGGGTCACGGCTTTCCCCTGGATGAGTGCTCAATTGCAGCCCATTTTTCGCTTGTCTTGAACACAAAAAGTTCGGGAGAACGCTTACCTTGTGGTGTGGCCAGTGCACTGGTCTATGACGACTCCACACAGACCACGTTTGTATCAGTCATCAGTCAGCGTTTGTTGCATGGCAGAGAGCAAGTCCTCCGCCCCAACATCGGTCTCGTTTCCGGCACCATGTCAAACAATGCGGAGAGCGATCAATTTGGCTCACAAACCTGGACTCTACGGTGGACAGGGGCGGCGAAGCATTCGTTTTCGCCGCGATATGGAATAAGGATTGTGTGCGGCCCCGGCTGGTGCCTTTAAAACACCCGAAGTTAATAAAAAAAGAAAAATAATCGGATGACAACTGTGAAGTGCAATGCACCAAGAAGAAGCATTCCGTTGTGCTCGACTACTGTTGGACCCCGGCTAAGCTTCCAAGAACAAGCCGTCACGTGTAACGTCTCCGGAAATAATGGGATGTTGATACCTGCATACCCACACGATACATCATCCCGCGAAAGGGCAGGATGAGGCACATGTCCTCGAGATCGATCTTCATCAGCTCGTCGTATTTCCTTTTTATGAGGTCCAACGGCAACGACGAGTAGCTGGTCATCCCTGTGTTCCACTCCAATATTCTCCAGCAGTGTTTACGGTCTCTTAGTGAATCTACCAATCTACGCGGTTTCGCGCACTCTGATTGGTCGGGCGTTGGTTTCTAGCTTTGACTCTCTCGCCGTTCCGCATTCCTTCCGAGAACGCGGCGCAGCGGCATTTCTCGCCCAGTTCGCGGCTGCTTGGCCGTGCATTGGCCGTGGATGAGCGGAAGGGTTAGGGTTGAGATAGGTCGGCCACGGTGTATGTCTCATCAAAGGTGCGAGCCTACCCTTCGACATGAGGTTAGACCTAACGAGTCACTCTAACAGACCGTAAAATCCATAGACCCCCAACAATTGATTCGTGAACTGCAGTCCACCCGCTCCCCTCAGCGATTCCACCTCCTCCACCATCACCCCCCCCCGCCCGCCCCCATACCTCTCTTGACGCAGTCCGTGTTAACCGGAAGTCGTTTCCTTCCCGAGCTTCATCTACCATCACCGCAGGTGGCATAGCATATCACACGTCCTGGATCGATTTTCAACGCTCGATGTCACTCTCCATAGAAAAATAGTGGCGGAGCCGAAAATGGCGCGTCGGAACCGTTTGAGAAGCCATTTTCAACGAAACTGGCTACGCATTCAGCACAAAGAATCTCCAGCAGTTTATTCATAAATCCAACCCATTCGTCTCTCTGGGAATTCTCCCATACCGTCAACACAATGGAATCATCCTCGTCGTCAATGACATTGCCAGGGTCAATGACCGTTCACATGCTTTGCTGAAGTCGAGTCCTCAGCTAGGCTCTGGGAGGGAACTTGAACGGCGCTTGTTTCCACGTTGCCTCTCATACGTTGGGGTATTGGTGTGTAGGCAAGAAACTTCTCACTCGTTTTCGGGCAAAAATATGAGGCAGGCAGCAAGGACGAGCTGGAGGCAGCTGAAAACTCAGCGGTGAAAGCAGCGGAACAGGGGTTTGAGGAGCAGTAGCGCCTCGTGATGGTATGCAGAGCCGGCGCGATGGGGACCAACAGACTATACGACCCCGTTGAAGGTGAGGGATCTGCTATTTTTTCCAAGCACGTATTGATTGAAGAGTGCGCCTTGTGGTGTGGTCCTCGCAGTGGATAGAAAATACACCACCTCCTTGCACGTATTGCTTCGGACACATCCAAGGCCACGTTTTTGGGGCTCGTCTTAATCGGTGATTCTCCCTGCTTCGTGACGTTTCGTGCAGGTCTCAGACGGCGTGAACGGCTGCACTGGCGAGGACAGAGATGTCGCCGAAGCCTCCATCCATGAAGCGCAAAGAGCAATTGAAACATGGAAGAAGTTAAGAATGCGGCACGATACATGAAGGAGGTGGGTGACGACGGTACTGCCAGACGCTTGTATCCCTTCATTTTCACTGTAGGGGGTTGAACGTCAGTTGTACGGTAGACAGACGCAGGACGTGGTCACTTCTTATGAAGAACGGTACAGCGAAACGCTTGTGTGTCTATATGTTTCTAGGTGCTTGAACGTCAGTTGTGCGGTAGACAGGGGCAGGGTGTGGTCACTTCATATGAAGAACGGTAATCTGTCAAATGCTTGTGCGTCAAAATTTTCACTCTACAGTAGGTGCTTGGACGTCAGTTGTGCGGAAGACAGAGGCAGAAGGTGGTCACTTCAAATGAAGAACGGTACTGTCAAACGCTTGCGTGTCCAATTTTCACTCTACAATAGGTGCTTGAGTGTTGGTTGTGCGGAAGACGGAGGCAGAAAGTGGTCGCTTCATATGAAGAACGGCACTGTCGAATGCTTTGCAGCTTCACTTTCACTCTAGGTGCGTGAACTTCAGTTGTGCGGTAGACAGAGGCAGGACATGGTCACTTCATATGAAGAACTGTAACTACCAAGCGCTTGTGTGTCCAATTTTCACTCCGCAGAGGTGCTTGAACGTCAGCTGTGCGGAAGACAGAGGCAGGACGCGGTCACTTCATCTGAAGAACGGTACTGTCAAACGCTTTGTCGCTTCCCGTCCACTGTAGGTGCTTGAACTTCAGTTGTGCGGAAGACAGAGGCAGGACGTAGTCACTTCATATTACGAACGGCAAACTGCGAAACGCTTGTGTGTCTTTTCGTTCACTCTAGGTGCTTGAACTTCAGTTGTGCGGAAGACAGAGGCATGACGCGGTCACTTCATCCGAAGAACGGTCCTGTCAAACACTTGCGATTCTTCATTTTCACACTATGTGCTTGAACGTCAGTTGTGCGGTAGACAGAGGCAGGACGTGTCACTTCATATCAAGAACGGTAGCTGCCAAACGCTTAGGCGTATTTTCGTTCACTCTGCGTAGGTGCTTGAACGTCAGTTGTGCGGTAGACGAAGGCAGGACAGTTGTGCGGAAGCCAGAGGCAGAAGGTGGTCACTTCATATGAAGAACGGTACTGTCAAACGCTTTGTCGCTTCCCTTCCGCTATAGGTGCTTGAACTTCAGTTGTGCGGAAGACAGAGGCAGGACGTGGTCACTTCATATTTCGAACGGTAAACTGCCAAACGCTTGTGTGTCTTTTCGTTCACTCTAGGTGCTTGAACGTCAGTTGTGCGGAAGACAGAGGCAGGACGTGGTCACCTCATATTAAGAACGGTAACTGCCAAACGCTTATGTGTCGAATTTTTCACTCTGCATAGGTGCTTGAACGTCAGTTGTGCGGTAGACGGAGGCAGGACGCGGTCACTTCATCTGAAGAACGGTACTGTCACACACTTGCGATTCTTCATTTTCACACTATGTGCTTGAACGTCAGTTGTGTGGTAGACAGAGGCAGGACGTGGTCACTTCATATGAAGAACGGTAATCTGCCAAACGCCTGTGTGTCGTAATTTTCACTCTACGTAGGTGCTTGAACATCAGTTGTGCGGTAGACGGAGGCAGGACGTGGTCACTTCATACGAAGAACGGTAAACTGCCTAACGTTTTTGTGTCATTTTGTTCACTCTACAGTAGGTGCTTGAATGTCAGTTGTGCGGAAGACAGAGGCAGAAGGTGGTTACTTCATGTTAAGAACGGTAACTGCCAAACGCTTTTTGTGTCTTATCTTTCACTCTGCAGTAGGTGCCCGAAGTTCAGTCGTGCGGTAGACGGAGGCAGGACGTGGTCACTTCATATGAAGAACGGTCTGTGCCAAACTCTTTTGGCTGTATCTCCACTCTTCAGTAGGCGCTTGAACGTCAGTCTCTCGGAAGACAGATGCAGGACGTGGTCACTTGAGATGAAGAACGGTAGCTGCCAAGCGCTTGTGTCCCCATATGTTCACTCTGTAATAGGCGCTTGAACGTCAGTTATGCGGTAGACAGCAGCAGGAGGTGGTCACTTCATATGAAGAACGGTACTGCGAAACGCATGTGTCGATTCACTTTCACTCTATGCGCTTGAACGTCAGTTGTGCGGAAGGCAGAGGCAGGACGTGGTCACTTCATATGAAGAACGGTAGCTGCCAAACGCTTGCGTGTCGTATTTTCACTCTGCAGTATGTGCTTGAACGTCGGAAAAAAGAGGTAGGACGTGGTTACTTCATATGGATATGAAGAACGGTACTGCGAAATGCTTGTGTGCCAATATTTTCACGTAGGTGCTTCAACGTCAGTTGTGTGGTAGACAGAGGCAGGCCGTGGTCACTTCATATCATGAGCGATGGTACCAAACGCTGCTTGTGTCGCTTCATTGTCACTCTACTTGGCCGCACGCAAGTGGTGCGGTATACCGCCCTTCCGTGCAGAGTGCAGACAGCACAACTGTTTTGGCGGTGTGATGCCTACACGCGGTATGCTGTTTCGTTGACGCGTCCTTTGGGGCGCCTAAAAAACGACACCAAGTCAGCGATAACCCGTAGCAGAAGACCGTAGTGCGTACTCGTCAGCAGGTCGTAGTGCTTGCGGCGCGTGGCCCTCGTCATGCATCCGTACAGCAGGGCCTCCACCGCTTCCGCTTTTAGGAGCCGGACCTTCAGTCCCCACGGTGCTGTCGGCCTGTCAAAGATCTCCCGGGTGTACTTCCGGATACACGCCCCAAACTGCTCTGCTCCGTTGGTTGATCTCCTGCGTGATTTCAGCATCTTCTCTGACCCGGCTACCCAGATATCGGAACACCGCTATCTGGACGTACTTCTGTCCCGCTGCTTCGATCACCAGTGGTGCCGTTGGTGGTGGGGGTGGCGGTGGCGGCGCTCCCTTCTTCGTTTTTTTCTCCAGCACTTTGATCAGGAGAGTCTCGGTCTTCTTCTCCGACACGGTCAGTCCGAATGCTCCAAACATTTCCACGATAATGGTCATCATCCTCGCCAGGCCTTCGGCCGATCTCGGAACAAACCCCGCGTCGTCGACGTACAGCATACATACCCCACACCGCCTTCGGGACTCGTTCCAGCGGGGTCGTTACCCTCCTCCTCGAGGTACACCAGATCCCTGAGGATAACGTCGTCTTCCTTGAATCGTACTAGAATTCCCTCGAGCGCTGCCGCGAGAAGATGGTAATCAGCAGTGGAGACCGCAGCCCCTGAGCGACCTCGAACCATTCAGAGAGCTCTCCGTCGTCCATGCGTACCCGAGCTTGCATGCCGTCGTGGAACTGGCGGATGACCTCGATCATTTTCTCCGGGACCCCCGATAGATCCAGCACCCGCCACAGCAGCTCCCGGTCGACTGAGTCATAGGCCTTCTGGGCGTCGACGACGCACATGTACAGCGGGATATTGCGTCTCCTTGCCAGCTCCTGCTGTCGTCGTACGACGAGCAGCATGTCGACAGTGGACCTGCCGGAAAGCGCACTCAACTCCTCTTCAGGCAAGATGTCGTATTTCTCACAGTTGTCACTGAGGCGGTTAGCGACGATTTTCAGGAGCACCTTGCCCGCAAGAGACAGAAGGGATACCCCCCTGTAGTTGTTACATTTGGATCGGTCCGACTTCTTGTAGAGTACCTTGATGGTGGCATCTTTCCATTCCTGCGGGATCTCCCTCCCGTTCCACACGTCGACGAGGATGGCGAGGAAGCTATTGCTCACGATGGGGCCGCCTACGTCGTCGACGTTGAGTAGTCCTACCGGCAGGGAATCATGACCAGGCGCTTTCCAGTTTTGCATCCCCCGTGCGGCTCTCCGAGTCTCCCCCAGGGTTGGCGCGGACCCCAGGTGTTGCGAGCCTTCAGTGGTCGGTACCTTCGGTCGTCGCTTTACCTGGATGGGTTCAATGTGGGAGATGTACAAGTAGCGTTGAGTAGGGAACCGAAGAACTTCGCCCACCGTTGGAGAATCTCATCCTTGCTCCTCAGCATGACACCATTCTCATCTTTGGTGGGCTGCTGTCCCCCTGTCTGCTTCCCGTCTAGGCCTACCGAGCTCTTGAGGTGTTTGTACATTCATTCCCCCGCATGTCGCGATCCTCGAGGATGGATTCCATCCTAGCCACATTCTTCTCCAAGTGGGCATAGATGCCGTCATCGACTGCTGTACGTACTGCCTTGCAAGCGACCCGGAGTGCTCTCACGTTGCTGGATCTCGGTCGGTTTCATCTCCCGGCGAGCCTTCCTTCGCTCGGCAAGGGCTGCCTCGACTGCTGTTCTCGCTTCCGGGCTCTGGCACCACTCCGGCATACGTGGTATCCGGGTCTCTGCCGGAGCACTGACTGCGCTTCTTCGAGGATAGCTTGGGTTAGTTCCCTCGCGGCTTCCGGGGCGCTCAGTCTGGGCTGGTCTGTTAGCTGGTCAAGGTTTTCAAGGAACTGATTGATCACCTTTTCCCTCTCTCTGTGCTTCCTCCCGCAGCGCTCTGCGACTGATATCAAAACGCCCCAGGCAAACACTAGTCGGCCGTCGCTGGATAAAACGGCGACAAAGGAGGCATAGAAAAATAAACATGGTCCAGGGAGCCCATCTCTTCAGCTCGGCACGCGATGCCAAACATACTGAAACAAAGAAATCAAAGATCACCAGTAATATACAGACATCACATCGGGCAGCTGCAGGAAGGGGGTTCCACAAAAAATTGAAGTATTCCTGCCACCTCCATCACATCCAACCCCCCACACATTGCGCAAAACGTTCTGTCATACTCGTCCTGCTCTCCCCAGCTGCAGTCGTGTCCTCGAAACGGATATTTCTACGCATAATCCCCTTTGTCTAATCCCCCCACCCGTCGGTTGTCGGTTCGGTCTACCGGTATCATCGTCGCCATTAAAGGATGTCCAAAAAATAGCAATTGTGCTCTGCTACTTCATCGATTCACACTTGCACTCCCCGCTAGATTTCCGTACGGCATTTCGCTGCCACGGTTTCACAGCCACATGGTGCAAGCTCTGGCACGGTACATTTTTTGGGTTTCTTTTCCGACCAAAACTATTGTGGGTATTGCTTGACGGGGGTGCCAACATTGCCGCTTCTCGCTGATGCTCCGTGAGCCCCAGAACCACGAATGAATGGTGGAGTGGAGGGCAGTTGCTCCGGCAACTAAAATCCCTCAGACGCCTCCAGAACCCAAGGTCGAGCAACACCACCAGAAAGGCCTCCGACGATGCCTCCTGATGGGGGCGTCTTGACCCTGGACAGGTCGTAACGTGTTTCTCGTGTTCACGCTCGTGGTAGCTGTCAATGTCACCGGTACATCGGTATGGAAGGCACGTACATGTTTGACCATAAAATCAAGGGGCATACCTCGAGAGAGAGGGACAACTTCGGGACACCCACTTCGCCAGCTGGTCATGGCAAAAATACTGTATCGTTCACTGATGTAAGAAAAAAATAAGAAACATGTTCGACAAGAAAGGGGGTGGCACTCACGTTTTCAGTGCGCTGCCCCTGGCGTCTGGCCGTCTCCAGGAAGATGGGAATCACCTTGCTCTTGCTCTCCTCCATGCGCGACACGGCCTTCCTCCATTCCAATGCAAAGCTGTCGAGGTCTAGCGAATACTCCCTCCCCGCCGGACGGAAAACCTCAACCGCAGTCACCGAATTTTCATTTTTCAGCGGCAATGCTCACCAGCATGTGCGGCACCTGCCCTTGATTTTTTTCTACGGTGGCGGCCGACCCCGTTGGCTCGAGGACCGGAACCACCTCTCCCGCAGAGGGGGGGTGGTGCCGCTCTCCGCCCCACCCAACATCTCCTCGACCGCGGGTGCGTTGCCCATCCGATCGCGTTTTGTGGGCAAATGCTCAGTCAGGACAAACCTACCGCACCCCTTCCGTGTCACCGTGCGCTATATAGTTGGCAGCCATTGACATCCGCCTTGCCGTAGAGCTTGGAAGTCACCCTGTGGTGAAAATTAATGTGGCGGTGCGGGATAGACTACATGTAGGCTTTTTGTGTTGGTGGTGCGAAAGCCTGAAGTCATTAGGGAGAGTATTTGAAACACAACCTTGATCGGCTACGGCCAGTACTTGCGGAGGTGTGGAACCGGTGCATGACAAGAGTATCATGGTATCTGGATGGCCTCGAGCATCAGTTGGTCGCAGAGCGGCAGCACAAACTGCGTACAGTGCCGTGTGAAAGGAGCGGGCCCGTCGCGACAGATGATGGAGCCAAGGGGAGAGCACATAACAACACTGATGTTGCTCATTCGCAAACACGGGGCCCCACAAGCCACATTTTTTTTTTTTGCGTGGTCCAGTCTCCATAAACCCGCCGCCGTTTCTCGCCTACTGCTGTACTGCTGTTCACTACACACCCGGACACCTTACGCCTACGCTGGTGCCGTGACCTGGTTCCATAGCTTTATCCGCCCTGGTTGTCTTCTTGGGATTGGACATCTTGTAAGGAGCGCACGTTCCTGAGAGACCCCACAAGGAAGGCGGTGTACATATGTACGATATAGGTTGAAGTCTGCGAGGCATCCCAAAGGGAGGCAGACAAGCACCCAACATGGTGGAAGTGTCTGGTCGAATGGATGGCCATGCTGGTGATCTGCTCGGTGCATTGATGAGCCCGGACAACACAGTCAGGCGAAAGGCGGAGGTTGTTTGGGAAGACATGAAGACGCGACTCCCCGATGAGGTGGGACCACTGCTGTGAAAATATATGGAGGGCATGACCAGGCGGGTTACTTGCGAACGGTTTAGTCACCATTTCATCTCCGTGATCTCTGTTGTCTAGCTGTGGTAGACTACAGTATCAGGTGCGTAGTACAATACCGGTGTTTGCTGGCCTTGTTCAACCTTTTTGCCAAGCTCCTCGCCGTTCGGTATTCGGCAACACTCTGTACCAGGGGCACTTGTACATATAGCAGAGGAACAGCTGTACATGTAGTCAGTGGTTGATATGAGGAAAACGACAATTGAGACACTATCGTGTGCGTGCAGTGTGCAGTGAGGTTCCACAGCGATGGTTCACGGATTGCCGGTACGGCCATCAGCCTTGTAAAAGTTTCCGCTGGCGCCATGGATTAATTGCTATACATCTGTCCCAGACTCGTATCTGTGGAAGAGATGAATACCAGCAGCATCCAGTTTAACTTGGTCAATAAGAACCCGCCTGAGGGGGGTGTTTTCTCAAGTCACATGAACACCCCGCGGATAGCATTTTGGCTTCATCTGGAGCAGCCGGGTGTTACTCTTGTGTGTGTGAGGTGTTGTATGTTGTAATGTGTCGCCCGGGTGATTAAACGAAGGTCGCGGGGACCACGAAGGGAGAGCCAACACCAGGGTGTGTGATATACCAGGCTGAGTCTTCCGGCGTGATTATTTCCGGATTGGATTTGGGGGGGGGTCCTTTTCTGAGCCAAAAATATAATCTGGGCGTCTTACGGGTAGATAATATGGCAATATCCAACAGCCCAAACTCCAACAGCGATTCCGGCCGGCCTATTAGAACGTTGACCCATTTTCCAACAGCGATCCTGTTGGAATATCGCTGTTAGAAATGGGGGGGGGTAACCCCTGGTTACACCCCGATCTTGCCAGAACGAGGAACTACACCGTCTGCTGGCCAAACAGAGGCCAGTATCATGAGGTCATGCACAACACTCTGCAGGTATCTAAGTTTCAGGGCGTTCTGCGTCGTGTTGGCCGCACACGAACCGAAAACTTCAACCCTGCCACATTGCTCTGCTGACGTTCTTGCCTTTCGGCCGAAAAGAGCCGTTATTGCGCCTGCTGCATGTGTGACCAGTTGAAAACGTACGCCAGGGAGAGGCCTTAAGCCGTCGACATCCACAAACTGCAGCCAATGTCGTGTGGTCATACTCATACCCTCTGCTCGCGTACCAGAAACAGAGCGTATTGTCCAGTTTTGATTGCACACGGCCTGCAAACGTGAACCAAAGTGTGCTACGGTGTTGACTTTTTGGGCTATTTTTTCGTTCCGCATCGTGTTTGCTCCATGTGTCACCCGCGACCAGTCAAAAACGCATGCCAGACAGAGGCCTTTGGTCGACGACATCCCCAAACAGCAGCCAGGGGCATGTGGTCATACACATACCCTCTGCTCGCGTCCCAGAAACAGAGCGTATTGTCCAGTTTTTATTGCACATGGCCTGCAAACGTGAACCGAGGTGTGGTTCGGTGTTGACTTTTTTGGACGTTGCCTTTATTTTCTGCTGCTTGCTCCGAGTTGAGAGTGTGATCAGTGTACAACGCATGCCATCAGAGAGAGGCATTTGGCCGACGACATCCCCAAACTGCAGCCGATAGCATGCGATGATACACATGCCCTCTGCAGGCGACCCATAAACAGGGCGCTCGGTGTCTTGTTGGTCGCAC